CTATATTCTAAATGAGGAACCACTGCACAAACAAACAAACACAGTTGTCATTTAGAGCAATATCACTTCCATCATTTACGTCATTTTTTATCACAAAAACGCTAAGACACTGGAAGGTGTGACTTACGGTTTACTGCACCACGTATTAAATAAGCTGAAATGGATAAAATAGTGCAATGGTGACTCTAATCCTGTCTAACATACTTTGAATTAATTGAGTATACGGTATATGTTTTAACCTTTTCATGACCAGACTTTCTTGCTCAGATTTTTCTGCACTTTTTTTTCTTAAATTCTTCAATATTTTTAGTAATGAATCCTAATTTTGCAACCAACAGACAAAATTTGGGACAATTTTCTTTTTTTTTCTCAAAAAGCTGTGTCCCAATTTTCTGAAGGAAAGTACAGACTTGCAGACTATAAACGGGACTATTTTGTGAATTAGTGATGAAAAGTGGGAACTGGTGGTGAAAAGGTTAAAACTATCTTTCCCACCAACATTTTGCAACTTTTATGTTTTTTTCAGACCAAAAAACATTCGCTATTCAGAAATATTGTATTCAGAAAAACACAAGAAATTGTTCTGAAAGAAAAAGGTATGTTTAATAAATAAAGTGCTTTAAAACTCTGTCATATTTTGAGAAAAAAGATAAAAGTAAACATTTGACAGCACAGTATTTAATATTTTATGAAAAACAGGCTGCAAATACCAACAGAGGAAGGTACATGCATCATTTCAAATTTTTAAAATATTCCAGATACCGTATTTGCTCTATTAGTAGTGCATGCGCTTATAAGTGATATTTTAATGATTTAGTATACAGCCAATGTGACCTTTGGTTTATATGTGTTTCTATTGAAGATGCGTTTCTAATAGAACAAATACAGAAATCACTTAGTGGATTGGTACAAAAATAAGTTGAGTATTTTTTTTTCTCTATAATTCTGTAGAGACTACCTGATTCTGCCATTGCTTTTAATCGGTCCAAGTTCTGATTTGGGGTCAGGTGATCTTGTGCTCCATTTAGTCTCATGACATTGTTGTACTTTAGAACACGAAGGAGTCATGTCAATACTCCTTTTCGGAATGGTTACACATGTTTCGTGTACCTTCCAGTACTTCATAAGAAGTCCATCAATCCATTGGCTTAGCTCAAATCCTGTTTTCTTTGCATTCAACGATGCTAGCTCAGCAGCTGGGGATTGGGAATCTTTCGGCGATTGAAGATCAAGAAACGTTTTTTCGCTAGCTGCATAGACTCCATTTGGCGGGCCGTTGTGCATTTCAATAACATCTGTCAGCGTAACGGGCTGAAGATTTCTCACATACAGTGGTATTATGATGAACTTGGTTTCGGCAATCACGCGATGGTTATGATACAGTTTGATAGTCCACTCTCCAGGCCTCAGCGGTTTGTGCATTTCAGTCTTGTAGTATCCTATTTCGGAATCGGCTTCCAGGTTGATATCATTGACATCTGCAATTTGATCAATCGGGTCGACCCACATACACGTTATAGTAGCTTGGGTTCCTTGGTCAATTTGCAGCAATATGCGAGGATCATCGTATGGGCCCATTATGTTTCCGACATTACGAAACACTCTTTCCTTCAAATCATACTGTGTTCCAACCTGTACCAAAAGACACAACACAACAAATTAACAGTTTTAGACCAAATATCTTATTGGCAGAAATTGACAGAATTAATAGATGGACAACATTAAAGTGGTAATCAACCATGCATTGTATGAGTCAGACCAGCATGGCAGTCACAGCACTATGTCGGTACTAAAAGTTATTATACAGATTATATAAAAATAGGTTAATGGCCTGTTCCTCAAAAGCTTTCAAGATTTTTTACCTTGCCACAAAGTTTGAAAGAAAAATGTTTATTCATTATACATGTATTCTTGAAACTATAACTTTGATTCTATTTTTTGTCATAAAAACTACCACTACGACCTTACCATCATGCATATTTGTGGTCTACACAAAAAGTACCATAAGAAAGTTATTGGAAGCAGTTGGTGTTAGCAATCTGTCATTTTCCCATTTCAACTCATGAACTGAAAGCGACCCACCTGAATATTTATTATGAAAGCAAGAAATACCCGCTAAAAATGTATCACCAAATTTGGATTGGAAAAAGGATGACATTCAATGGTTGAAGGGCGGTGGTCGTCGCACAGTGCATGTATTTTACATGTGTTATGTACATCACTATGAGTCCCATAGCAAACAGAACACGACTTGATGACCACCGCCATTTAAAAAAACACACAGTACCTTGATTGATCGAATTCTACCAGCAGGTCCCAACGGTTCAATGATATTATAATATCTCTGCGGTAACAGCCACGACTCTAACCAGTCTTTACGACCACTTCGCGACATCCCTTCATAAGTAATCATCAATCCTCGGAAGTCGTCGGCTCGCATAAACATATTCACTTCTACGGGTGCCATATTAAAAGCGTACATACATCCCTCGTTGTACTCAATGGCTTGCAAAGACGTACGAAAACTCTCTGATGATATTCTAATGAAGGACTGATAAGCGGTCCAGAATGCATCCGATGGTATGGATATATCATCGTCCATGTGAAATATACTCTGCCAATACAACTCCAATCCTATGGTGGATATAGGATAGTCACCGTAAAGCCAACCGTCAAGTCTATTGATCACCTCCTGGTTGATTGATGGCTCAAATTTCCTGGCGAAAAAAGTTGGTCTGGCAGTCTAAAATGGATAGGAACACAAGAATTAAAAAGTGATTCTGACTGCATTTGACTCTATTTGACATACAATTTATTGAAAGCCATAGGAAAAATACATTATTGCATTAATTTTTGGAGAAATAATTTTTTGCAAATTTCAGTGAAAATCTCGAAATGTTGTAGCATTGAACATTTCTCTAATGACAAGGAGTGATTTTTACTGAAGTCTTAGGGAGTAACAGTGACTTTCACTAGAGTCTTATGGAGTCACAGAGACTTTCACTTTGGCCTAAAGGGTAACAGTGATGTTCACTGGGGTCCTAGAGAGTCACCATGACTTTTACTGGGGTCCTAAGAAGCTATAACAGTGACTTTCACTTGGATCCCAGGGAGTCACGGTGACTTTCACTGCTGTTCTAAGGAGTCACAGCACCATGACATGTTGTCCTTGTGAACACCCATGAACATTAAACCATGAAAACTGTTAGTAGTGAAAATTAAACTGTTTACAGTACAAGTACTTCAATTTTTATTCAAAATTGCCTTCCATGTTGCTAAAATTTGGCTGGTTATATGCAGGGAGCATGTAGGACATTTATAACACATTGCTATTACCGTCATGGTCCAGGTTAAACATTTTTAACTGTTAGAAAAATTTGAAATCCAATGTTTTTACCTTAATTTTTGGAAGATCTTCTGGTTTGAAGACATTTGGTGAACACCCACACCAGTCCACAATGTGTTTATACTGACACTGGCATCCCAGTTTACGCTTCCAGTTTGTAACTCGCAGGTTGTTATCAACCATTGTCTGGCATAACTCGCTGTTTTCAAGAACTGTGTGGAAGAATGACTGTAAAAAAAATGATTACCCTATTATTTACATGTAACTATAATAATGCATATATTTTCAGGAAGTTAGGGTATTGCCCTCATTTCTCTTGAGATATATAACAAACTGGAGAAGTATTTTTTTCACGATTAGTAATTAGTAATGCCAACCATCTTGTCATGTTTATTTTGTTAGTCAACCTATAAACAGATTTTAGATTTTTTTAAAGTAAACATATTGTACATGATAAGTATCAAAATACAGACAATAACAAATGATTAAATAAAATTCAAAAAACAAAACATGACCCAATACAGAACATGTAGGAGCATTTGGCAAACTGTAAACACAGACGAACGTTAGGTCTTTGATAACAATAAGATAATACTCCAAACTCCATACAGTTTATTTCCAAAATGATTCTACTATTACAAGTGGTATTGAAATGTGACTCATACAGGAACACAGTGAAAACAGGAGCTGAACAGAATTTGAATCAAACTCAAGCTAACACTGATTGGTCAATGCCGACCATGTCTGAATGTAGATTGACTCTAATTAACATAATTTATGCACTGGCTATCAACACTATAATTATAACATCAAATATAGCAATAATAACTTGCTAAAATGTTAATTTTATTAATAAAGGAAAAATAATTGTCAAATTTATTTTGTAAAATGACAGATTTGATTAAGAAAAAAATTTATAAATATCAAAATAATAATACAGATAATTTTTTAAAAGAAATTAAACAAAAAAGTCTGTATGTGTGTTGGCCATTTAATAGCATGTAGTATGTAATACTAGTATTCTTCAACTTACCTCAGCGGGCAGCAGGGTATATTTATAGAAAATTTTGAGTCCAGTGATCAAATCATCATCTGATGTTATGAGATATTCACAGAATTGTCGATTCAAACCAAGCCAATCAGAACCGCCGTCTATTGTAATACCTTTCGGCAGTTTTCTGTCACCCAGTCTCCACATGTGATTGTCGCACTCTAAAAATGTTCTATCTAAGCCTTGTTTGCGAATGAACCTAGTGAACGGGAAAGTGTTACAAGGTAATATGATATTCACAAAAAATGTTCACCTCAGAACATGAAGTAGGTGACAACTAGGAGTATTTAAAACTAAACTCAGAAAATCCATAGCATATACGTAATTGGGTCAAAAATTAGTATTAGTATATTTAGACTAGTCATTATGAGTAGGCACTGGTCAGTGTAAGTATTAGATTTAACCTTTCCACCACCAGTTCCCTCTTTTCATCACAAATTCACAAAATAGTCCTGTTTATAGTCTGCACTTTCCTTCAGAAGATTGGGACAAAAATAGACAAATTTTTTGAGTAAAAACTTATAATTGACACACATTTTATCTGTTGGCTGCAAAATTTGGGTTCATTCCTAGAAATTCTGAAGAACATAAACCAAAAAGTGGTGAAAAGGTAAATATTACTAGAAACTAGTCATGAGTAAAAACTGGACGGTTTCAGATTCAACAACTTTTAGCTAATCTGTAATTTTGCTAATTTAAGATGTTGCTAATTTAAAATAAATCATATTTTCACAGTGGGATTGTTGACACTATAGCTAAAAAAACAGATTCTTTTAATTCATGCAATGGGGTCAAATTCGCTAAAACATGCTTTATGGAACTAGTCAATACTAGCCTAAAATAACCTTTGCTAGACTGAACATGTTAGTATATAAAATTGGAACTTGTCAGTGCAAGCTCGGTTATTGTTAGAATGGAATAGTGGTTATGAGACAGTCTACACCTATCAATAGGTCATGACGGCAATGTAATACATTTGTTTCTTCAAGGTATGTGGGCTGCTCAAACATCACTCAAGGGAAAATAGTTTTTTGAGTGACCCGCAAAGTTGAGGAAAACAAACATATGCGATTGGTAGGAGTTTTATAACACACCTCATCCAATTATTTGATGTCTACTACACATGAAAATAGATGAGGACTTACTACTGACAACAATTATTTTCAACTTACTTGGTGTCATCTCGGCCATGAGATTTCAGGAAATTATAGTTTCTATTCATGGATAAAAAGGAAACTAGCTGATCATTGGTTCTGAAATAAATAACACACATGGATGCAGTTAGTAAATTATGGGATAGAGATTAAACAGTCCCTGATAGTTTGTTGTTATCTGTTGATCCTATTAGACAAGGATGAACTGAAACTAAAATTAAGAAAAACCATCTAACAACGATCATTTGAAATAAATCGTACATTATTAAAGGGCGATTATCGTCTCATAGTTGATGAGTTCGTTGCTGTCTAAGCAGCTCATCATGCCATGCATTTCCTGATCTTGTGTGGCATATATCCAGGGGACAGATATGTTTATATCCGTTCGTAGGTACATGTACGTCAGACAGTATTGGTAGGTTATCTTTAGTATTACTTGAAGCGAACTTCTGAACATTTTCACCACCTGGCAGCCACAGCCAGTGAAAACAACATGCCTCACGCAAACAAAGATGGCGACTTTGACTGTTGCACAGATCAACTAGTACAAACTGAAATGATACCAAGCTTCAATTAGGTATTTTTTAGGTGATTGGAAGGTATCGAAGAAGTCATCAGCGGTAATTAGTGCAAGTATCGCATAGGTCAAACCTCATACTTGTGATTTTCATTAGAAGAGCGCATTGGATTGTGGGAAAATCAATGTTTATCAACACAACTGTTGCACATGGGCAGTGCGACTACCACCACCCTTTAAATATACCCATGCATATAAGCCATCACACTAGTGTTGTGTTGATATCATAGGCAACTTTTGTCATCAGATATTTACACACTTGCTTGGTAAAACCAAAGAAATATAGCACTCTTAAATTATCAAATTCCAAAAATGTCCAGTGAAATAATGAGCAGACGTCAACCGCCAAATTTGTTACTTCATTGTAACTTTCAATAA